GATACTTCACTAAACTAGTCTGTTTAAACTTGAGCCTGTCCTAAAGTCTGTCCATACATATGGTCAAGATTTTATACATTTTTTATTTTATTGATTATTATTTTTTTGGTACCAGGGATTGAACTCATGTCCTTGCGATTGTGAGGCAGGTGGTAGAAACACTGAGCTAAATCCCTGGCCTCCATGCATATTTTATGATTTAATTTGATAACTTTTAATAATTTTGTCTGGCCATAAAGTGTTTTTTTTCTGTTGCATATTAGTGAATCCAGAAAATTTGCTTTATAAAATTTTTATAAGATATTTGTGCTAATAAATAATTTTAATTTCATAGAAGGATTAAGTTTATAAATATATTAGAATGCATTCATGTAATTCATGTTGGACATAAATGTTATTAAATTGTCATGAAATACATTAACCCCCTTGGAGTACCATAAGGGTTCCTTGGACCCACTTTTAGTTTTTAATATATTTTTTTACATATTTCTAACTGGTAAGAAATATCATAAGACTTACTAGTTTTTAAAATGACACTGTGCTTTTAACAGGATAAAATATTTTGTCTTGTTATTACCTTGTGTGTCCATTAGAACCTTTTATAATTGAAGATACATTATGGAATTTTAGTCATCCTATTTTTCTTAAATCTTTAAGCAGCATGACATTTTACTGTCTTTGAAAGTTATTCAGTTATTGACTACTAAAAAAACACTTAAAAGAATATGAGAAAAGCAAAATAATTAAAGCGCTAGAAGAATGATGCCATGATGAAGTAAGTCCTAGCATTACCATCCTGTTTTCTTACTGCATAGCTTACTGTGATGCATCCTTTTTCAAGAAAGTAAAAAAATCTGGACAAAAGACTTTCCGTTTTAAGTTTTTTGTAAACAAAATCGAGAATTCAGTATTTTTTATTTTTTTGTGCAGAGTGTCAAAAGAACGTTGACACAGGAAGTTGTTTCAGTTAGAAGAATCCGAAGATGAATGCTGATAGACTGACAGCACCATAGGCATGAATGATTATGGGGCCATTGATCTGTACTGGCGACATCTCTAACTATTGTTTTCAGAGGACAGCCTCTTAAATGGATTTTCTCTAACTCAAGAATCAGTGAGTGAACAATATAGTTCTAAGGACAAAAGGAAGTACAATATTTTCATTCTGTTGGGTATTTAGTAAGAAAGAATTCATCACTTAATGTTCTTTACTCAGTATTTAGGGAAAACAAGCTTTACTGTAGTTTTTCATCTTTCCTGATGCAGAACACTCAGATTTATTTGAAATTGTAGATTAAATGGACATATATTGAAGGCAGGTAGGTGATAAAAAATATCTGCGAGAAGGAGATAATACAAAACTGAAATAACTTATTGGACTGAGCACTATGCAGTAATTTCTGTGAAATATTTGGCAATTGGGAGCTATAAACTGAGCTGTTACTTTCAAAAAGTAACACATTTTGAATATTACAAATACAAAAAGAAAACTGCAGAAGTCCTAAAACCTTTTAAGCATGTATTTAAAATCTAGATTCAATATTTAAGAGGTTTCCAGATTTACACATTTAAGTAAATCTTTCTTTGCCTGCTATGACTACCACCCTAATGTTTAAAGACATTCTAGCAATATAATCTGTTTTTCATTTTAAATTGTATTTCTTTCTAAACCCTCATGAGAGTTGTACAATTTGTGAGTTCTTCATCGTTCTTAGGATTTTTTTTCTGTCCATTCTGTCCTTTGACTCTCTTTACTCCTCTCCTCTAGAAACTAAATTCTGTTCCCTTCATTCAAGAAAACATGTAACAAGCATATGCCATACAAAGTCTCTCTTGCTGTGTTTATGAAAAATATATTGAGTGTCTTCAAATAGACATGTACATAAGATATAATAAAATAATTATTTAAGTTAGGGAAAGGACAGTCCAGCGGGTCAAAGTGTTTGAGATACTACTTTGGTTTTAAAATATATAATCACAAATCTCTTAAAGAAACCCAATTCTTAAGTGTGTATTCACATTTAGGTAAAATGTATCTAGAACTAGGCATGAGAACTATATATTGGTGCTTCAAAAATGTTGTCTTTTTGCCAAAATATATTGAGTCTAATTCTGAAAAGTGCTAACTTACAGTGTTAACGTCAAGGTATCTATTCGCTGTGCTATCTGTAGGTTTCAGTATTATGTCCTGCATTGCATCCAGTATTATATTGCTGTATCTTGCCGCTTTTCCTTTTTTTTTTTCTGAATTTCTCAATTAAATGCTGTACTATATAAGTGAAAAAGCAATGTGGAAATATGGGTAGGATTTTTAATGATTTCTCCCATTTCAGTTATTAAAAGAATAAGACAAGAAATTATCTAAAGAAATGTGGTTCACTTACTCCCTAAAGAACTTTCAGTTATAGAGTCTATGTGCATTCAGGCCTTTAGTAGCTTCGGAGTCCCTGCTTAGATTCAGGTTCCGATTACACACTGGTGGATATTGCCACTGACCATCGCCTGAAGCAGCCTTTCCAGAGAGCTACAACCTTTGATTTTTCTGATTCATCTTATTAAAAGACAAGTTCCCACAAGAAGTTCATTTTCTTGCACTGCTTGGTGTAATTAATGCTTTTTATAGGACTTTTTTTCAAAGAAATTAATAAAAAAACCATCTTGATGTAAACTTTTTGGAAGCAAACCCTTTAATGCTTTTCTAAATTGATTTTTTTACATGCTTTTCTAGATGGTGTAATAGCTTAGTGTGCATACAGTTATGGTTATATACATTATGATAACCACATTTTCTTAACTAAAATTTATTATCATTTTTATTTTAAAATAATTGTAAAAGATTTTCCAAGTCACATTTAATTTTTAAATTTTTTATAGTAATATAGCAAGGTCATTTGAAACAGTATTAGTAGGGAGAAAAGAATTTTATGTTGGGAATAGTCTAGAAACATAGGGACACAGGTTCATCTTGCTTAGTCCTCTTAAATATTCCTATCACATCACCCTATTTTAAATGAACATAGTTCACCAATCTCAAAACAGATCCCGAGCAGATTGAAAGCTCAGTAAGTTTTATTATATTGATTTAAATGAAACAAATAAATTAAATATTTAGAATGGCCTTTACCTTGTCATTCCTTTGATTTATACTGATGAAGTTGGGATGGATATTTTCAAATTTGTGATTTTTATTATTTTAGGTTCATATTCATATTTTTAGAAGGTGAGTGTGCACATCTGCACATTTGCATATGTGTTTGAATATAAAAAATGTGTTCCTTCCTAGCATTAGATTATATATTGTGTTGCCCTGCACTAATTATAGTTAGCATAGGGCTCAGACCCTAGAAGTTTAATGAAATTTTTTATATTGCTATTTTGTGTTCCTGAAATTGCTAACATTTTTAATTTTTTTGTTAGTATCTACTTGTGATGATTATGTTCACCATAGGGAGTTGCTATATTTACATAACACATATTGATTCTTTTTACCTCCCTGTCCACTCCCTTCTTCCCCCCTCCTCCATTTCTTGGTGCCTTCTTCCCATTTGCAAAAGATCTATTTAAGAAATGATATTCTTAATATTTCCTCTTTTTTTTTCTGTTAACATAAGAAATAAATGACAAGATGGCTGAATGAAACTGTGGTAGTTCCTTTTAAAATCAATTGCCAGAGTATCTGCTTTGGAAATCAGAAATTTATAAATGTAGTCTTGTTTGTTTATTTGTTTGTTTGGTTGGTTTTTGTTCATTTATTTGAGACAGGGTCTTCCTGTGCACTTTAGGCTGGCATTGAACTCACTATGTAGCCCAGATTGGCCTTGAACTTGTGAGGATCCTACTGCCTCCGTTTTTCCCGTGTGTTAGAATTGCAGGCATGTCCACTCCACCTGACTCAGTTGCAGGGTTTTTTTTTTTTTAAATAATGAATATATTTTATAGCTATAGTAAAAGATGGAGTAGAAATAACACAAAGATGTTCCAGTAACTATATTTCATTCTTCTGTTTCACTGAAAGACTACATTCATATCAAATATCGAATTACCAATATGTTTTTGATTAATTTGGTTCTCAAGAACCAAAAGGTTGGCAGTGGTATAGACAGGAAAAAATGAATTTGGAAATAGTAATAAGAAGTCCTTAAATGCCTTAACTAGATGAATATATTAACAGTTTTTAAGACAATTATAAAAGTTGTCTTGCAAGTTGTAAAATACACCTTTATTTTTGTACCACCGAGAAAGAAAACTATCTCTCAACTTCTGAAATGTGTCATTAATTTAAAGATACATAAAAATGGAAAAAATGTATACGAGATACCTCCCATTATCTGAAAACAAGTCAGGGCTTTCTTAGTAGGGGGAAAGAAGAGAAAGGAGATGAAGTGATCTGGTATTTGTGAATGTTACTAAGACTGGTACTCTTTACAGTCTCACTTGTTAGACTTCCATTTCTTTGAAAATAGAAATTCTAAAAATTACTCACTGAATATGTGGTGTCAGATAATGTCAGAAGGGAATGTTTCTGTTGACTTCATCCCTGCATGAGTCATAGCAGGAGCAGATAAGTTGATGTTATATGTATCCCTTTTCCTTTTTCAAAACGATTTACTTTTGTTTCTCCCTATGTGTTCAGTAATTTCCGGAAGCTAATTCTGGGTCCCATAAATGGAGCTATACAGTGATAGAAGAGACTGTATATTCATGTTACTTTGCAGAAAGATGCTTATAAAAGTACTAAATCGTAACAGGTTTTGGAAGAGAATTACAATATTAAAATGTTTGTTTGTTTAAATGATTTGATCATGGTAACAAAAAAGTTTAACCTATTGGCTTTCCAACTTAATTGAGATGATAAATGACTAAAGATGTGACTATAATGCATATGTACATGCATATTATATTTATACAGTGTACATGTATACTTGTACTTTTGGAAATTGCAACTTGAACTTAGCATTATACTGCCTTAACTATTTTTATTTATTTATTTTTTAGAACACTGATTTTGCATATACTGAAGAAAGAAAGATGAAGAAAGAAGAGCAATATATTTTCTAAGAATTATATTGGCTTGCTTCTCCAGACCTATGTACTAAGGAATTCTTCTGCTTCTCCTTACTTAGAAGTTGATCATCTTTGTGGTCAGACTGCCTTGGAGTTTTCTACCTTTTATCTTTTGTTTGCAGAAGAAATCCTGGTCAGAATGTAACAGGACATCTTTTTTTTTTTTTTTTTTTTTTTTTTTTTTTTTGCTATGGAAGGTAGAAAATTGTCACTGACTTGGTAAAGTTACATATCACTCACCTAGAGAAGACCCTTCTTTAAAGTGAACAGAAACCAAGCCCTTGTGAGCACTTTTATTGAACATGACTCATGGAGAAGAGCTTGGCTCTGATGTGCATCAGGATTCTATTGTTTTAACTTACTTAGAAGGATTACTAATGCATCAAGCAGCAGGGGGATCAGGCACTGCCATTGACAAAAAGTCTGCTGGGCACAATGAAGAAGGCCAGAACTTTAAAATTTCAGGCGGTACGTTTCCCACCTGTCAGAGTAACGGGCCAGTTCTCAATACACATCCATACCAGGGATCTGGCATGTTGCATCTCAAAAAAGCCAGGCTGTTGCAGTCTTCTGAGGACTGGAATGCAGCAAAGCGAAAGAGGCTGTCTGATTCCATCGTAAACTTAAATGTAAAGAAGGAAGCTTTGCTGGCTGGCATGGTTGACAATGTGCCTAAAGGCAAACAGGATAGCACATTACTGGCTTCTCTGCTTCAGTCATTCAGCTCTAGGCTTCAGACTGTTGCTCTGTCACAGCAAATTAGGCAGAGCCTCAAGGAGCAAGGATATGCCCTGAGCCACGATTCTTTAAAAGTAGAGAAAGACTTAAGGTGCTATGGTGTTGCATCAAGTCACTTAAAAACTTTGTTGAAGAAAAATAAAGCTAAAGATCAAAAGCCTGGTACAGATCTTCCTGATGTAACTAAAAACCTCATCAGAGATAGGTTCGTAGAGTCACCTCAGTGTGTTGGACAAAGTGGAACAAAGGTTATGAGTGAACCCTTGTCATGTGCTGCACGATTACAGGCCGTTGCAAGCATGGTGGAGAAAAGGGCTAGTCCTGCCACCTCACCTAAACCTAGTGTTGCTTGTAGCCAGTTAGCATTACTCCTTTCCAGTGAAGCCCATCTGCAGCAGTATTCTCGGGAACATGCTTTAAAAACACAAAATGCAAATCAAGCAGCAAGTGAAAGACTTGCTGCTATGGCCAGATTACAAGAAAATGGCCAGAAGGATGTGAGCAGTTTTCAGCTCTCAAAAGGAGTGTCAGGCCATCTGAATGGTCAGACCAGAACATCATCAAGCAAAGCAATGGCTGGCAGAAGTAATGCTGCAGCTTTTCAGAACCCAGTGGGCATCGTTCCTTCTTCCCCCAAAAATTCAGGCTATAAGAACTCACTAGAAAGAAACAGTATAAAACAAGCTACTAGTAATAGTTTGCTTTTACATCTCCTTAAAAGCCAGACCATACCTAAGCCAATGAATGGGCACAATCAGAATGAGAGAGGAAGTATTTTTGAAGATAGTAGTACACCCACAACTATTGATGAATATTCAGATAACAATCCTAGTTTTACAGATGACAGCAGTGGTGATGAAAGTTCTTATTCCAACTGTGTTCCCATAGACTTGTCTTGCAAGCACCGGATCGAGAAACCTGAGTGTGACCAACCTGTTTCTCTTGATAATTTAACTCAGTCCTTGCTAAACACATGGGATCCAAAAGTCCCAGGTGTAGATGTTAAAGAAGAGCAAGATACCTCAAAGAATTCTAAGCTAAATTCACATCAGAAAGTGACACTTCTTCAGTTGCTACTTGGCCATAAGAATGAAGAAAACATAGAAAAAAACACCAGCCCTCAGGGAGTACACAACGATGGGACAAAGTTCAATACACAGAATTATACAAGGACTTCTGTAATAGAAAGGCCCAGCACCAATAGGACTACTCCAGTCAGCACTCCACCATTACTTACATCGACCAAAGCAGAATCTCCCATCAATCTTTCTCAACATTCGATGGTCATCAAATGGAATTCCCCACCGTATGCCTGCAGTGCTCAATCTGAAAAGCTAACAAACACAGCATCTAACCACTTGATGGACCTTACGAAACACAAAGAATTACAAGGAGAGAAAACAGCCCAAAATGAAGGTGTACAAACTTCTGCGACTTTTAGCGCCAGTAAGCTGTTACAAAATTTGGCACAATGTGGAATGCAGTCTTCCATGTCAGTGGAAGAGCAGAAACCCAGCAAACAGTTGTTAAGTATAAACACAGATAAACCTGTAGGTATGATTGATAGATTAAATAGCCCTCTGCTCTCAAATAAAACAAATGCAGTTGAAGAAAATAAAGCATTCAGTGGTCAACCAGCGGGTCCTGAACCAGGATTTTCTGGTTCTGAAATAGAAAACCTGCTAGAAAGACGCACTGTCCTCCAGTTGCTCCTGGGAAATCCCAAAGGTAAAAGTGAAAAGAGAGAAAAAATTACCGTAAGAGATGAAAGTACTCAGGAACATACAGAAAGAGCATTAGGTGAACAGATACTGATGGTGAAAATAAAATCTGAGCCTTGTGATGACTTACATATTCATAATACAGATGTGCATCTGAGCCATGAGGCCAAGAGTGCCCCATTCTTAGGGATGGCTCCCACCGTGCAGAGAAGCACAGCTGCCTTACCCATGTCTGAGGACTTTAAATCGGAGCCTGTTTCACCTCAGGATTTTTCTTTCTCCAAAAATGGTCTGTTAAGTAGATTGCTGAGACAGAATCAAGAGAGTTATCCAGCAGATGATCCAGATAAGAGTCACAGAAGTAGTGAACTGACACCTCTAGAATCAAAGAATCTTTGCATGGTCCCTAAGAAAAGGAAGCTTTATACTGAACCATTAGAAAATTCTTTTAAAAAGATGAAAAGCAATATTGTGGAAGCTGCACATAATCACAGTGCTCCAGAAGTCCTTTATGGGTCCTTGCTTAATCAGGAAGAGCTGAAATTTAGCAGAAATGATCTTGAATTCAAATATCCTGCTGGTCATGGTTCAGCCAATGAAAGTGAACATAGAAGTTGGACCAGAGAGAGCAAAAGCTTCAATGTTCTGAAACAGTTGCTTCTCTCAGAAAACTGTGTGCGAGATTTGTCCCCACACAGGAGTAACTCTGTTGTTGAAAATAAAAAGAAAGGACACAAAAATAATGTGACTAACAGTAAGCCTGACTTCAGCATTTCTTCATTAAATGGACTGATGTACAGTTCCACTCAGCCAAACAGTTCCATGGATAGTAGGACATTTTCATACCCAGGAGTGGTAAAAACTCCTGTGAGCCCTCCGTTCCCTGAGCACTTGGGCTGTTCTAGATCAGAACCCGGGCTTTTGAATGGCTGTTCTATGCCCAGTGAGAAGGGACCCATGAAGTGGGTTATCACAGATGTGGATAAGAATGACTACGAAAAAGACTCTCCAAGACTGACCAAAACTAACCCAATACTGTACTACATGCTCCAGAAAGGAGGCAATTCTGTAACCAATCAAGAATCACAGGACAAGGACATCTGGAGGGAGTCTTCATCTGCTGAAAGTGTTTCACGTGTAGCAATCAAAGAAGAGTTACTTCCTGCTGCAGAAACTAATGCTTCTTTCTTTAATTTAAGAAGCCCTTACAATAGCCATATGGGAAATAATACTTCTTGCCCACACAGTGCAAATGGAGAAGTTTATGGACTTAGGGGAAACATGCTAACAATTAAAAAAGAGTCAGAATAAAATGTACCTGCCATCCAGCGTTGGATGTTTTTAAAATTAATTAGTATGAACTTGGGAATCTGTATAAATAAGAGCATGATTTGAGAAAAGCATGATATAATTGAAACTTTTTTTCATTTTAAAAAGTATTGGTTACTGGTGATGTTTAAATATGCATACTAATTTTTGCTTAACATTAGATGTCATGAGGAAACTCTTGAAATAGCAATTGGTTGTTTAACACTTCTGTATGCATCAGATAACAACTGTGAGTAGCCTATGATTGAAATTCTTTTATGATCATAAATAAGAGGCATACGTTAAAATTTAAAACTCCATCCATAGTAGATCAATGCATTTTGCTGCCTTCAATAGGGTACTTTCTTTTACATTTCAGAAGTCAGCCTACATTAACACATGTTTTTAAAGTCCAAACTGTTAACTCATTAAAGGATAATTATCAAATTTTTTAAAAACGTGCTGACTCACATCTCCTTATCCAATTAAAAATAAATTAGGAAAAAAGCTCACATTTTTCACTTTTGCTAAAAAAAAAATATTTATTTTTAACTCTTGGAAGGGGTTTTGTGGTTCCCCATGTGTCTGCCCCCACCCCAGACCTTTTCAATATATATTTCTTTAAACCTTGTACTTTTTAGTAAAACTTGATTACAATCGAGGGAAGTTTGATAGATCTTTAAAAAAAAAGGGCAGATGTCCATTTTTGTATTTTAACTACTTTACTAAATACCCCTCCTTTTACAGAATAAGGGAAGTTACCACTTATCTTCAGGTGGTTTCCTGAGTAGTTGACGATTTAAGAAATTGTTTTTAATAGAAACGAAATGGCTTTTCTTTGGACAGTTTTTCACCATCTCTTGTAAAGGTTAATTCTCACTATTCCTGTGGTACCTGTGAGTCTTAGAACCAGAATTTCTTAAAGCTGGACTCAGACCACCTGCATTAGAATCATCTGGAACACTTGTTTTAAAATGCAGATTTATAGGCAGCATCTCAGATCTACAAAACAAGGATCTCTGCTAAGTGGACCTGGGAATCTTCTGTCTGCATCTTAACATGTTTCCTAGATGTTTCTTCTGCACACTGATGTTTGAGAACCATTGCTGATGACTTTCTCAGAACATGGACTATAAAGAGAATGTTTGATGTCTATATTTTCCCAAATACAGCCACACATAAATGAAAATTTGCAATATTGTAGTTCCTATATTGCCGTTATGTCTTTGGAAATCGGGTTCAGAATACTTTTTATGACTAAAAATTGGGTGGAGGGGACAACTTTCATATCTGGCTCAACATCTCAGGAAATCTGTGATTATTTATTTGTTCTAATAAGTAACATCTACTTAATTAGCCTTAGAGCTGGAATAACAGGGCCACTTACCAAACTCAGGTGATTCCAGGATGGTTTGGAAACTTCTCCTGAATACATCCTTAGCTTCTATTGAAACCATTGTCCTAAGAACAATGCTAGCAAAGATTAAAACATTTAGTTCAAACTGAAGAATAGTACTGAACTCGGATTGACTAAATAAAATTGTACAAAGGGCATGCATCCATGACAGAATGTACACAATCACTCCATTGGATCAATTATTTTCAAATAGTGCTCAAAGGTAAACTGATATGGTCTTGGAAAAACTTTACAAGTGAAAGCCAGCTGGCATTTCAAACTTGAAAAAGGTCTATTTTTAAGTTCAGTTTTACAATCCTCAGTTCATTCACCAGGTATTTTTTTTTCTATCGTGAGCCAGGTTAACAATTGATCTATCAAAAATTATTGTATAATCAACTATTATTTAGAAGGAAATTAATTTGAAGTTGTTTCTAAGATTTTTATATTAAAAATGGACATTGTTTCCTAAATATAATCTAAAACCCTAAATGCTTATTTTTTTCCTCAAAATGATTTGTAAATACTGCATATATTATACAATAATAGAAGTGGCTATTATGCTACATCATGGGGAGGTGAAGGCTCATGCTTACTCTGACATGAAAATTTTTTTGGCCAGTGAATATGCTGAATTCCATGTCCATACTGTGGCAATCTTATTGTCTACATTATATAAATAAGCTTTCACAAATCTTTTGTTCTTGATCATTGTAAAAGATCTAGGGCCTTAGAGCTATGTTAGAAAAAAAAAATGTTGGTATTCTCCCTTGTTTAAGGGGAGATGGGTGTTTTACCAGAGTGTGATATGTAGATTAGGGAAAAGAACATCGAGAGCCAGCACTTTTTGTTTTGTTTTGTTTTGTTTTTTAAGTTGGTTAGTTTTTGTTTCTGTTGTTAACAGTTAAAGGAATGGAAATAAGTGATACAGAAATAAATTTAACCACAAAATGCTGTTCTGATTTACTAGAGGATGTCCCCAATTTAGAGTTCAGAGTGATTTTAAAGAAGGGCAGTGAGAAAGGGCATACATCCACAAATTCGTTTTCTTTATGCATCTGTACATTACAAGGGTACACATACACACATTCTCAAGGACTATTTTAAATGTCTAGACAGTTTCTCCCTAATAAATCATTTGTGAAAGGGTACTACAGCTCTCATTGACATCAGTAAGGTAATATTACCTGTTTACTCTCTGCTGCATCTTACAGGAGAGTAAACCGGTGAGAGTATATATTTTACATATATATATAT